ACCTTATTTAGGTGATGAAAGGGATGATGAGTTCTTAACAAAGTATGAAACTGAGAGCTTGACGAGTTGGCCTTGCAATCCTTGAAAATCTGTTTGGTTTTTGGTTCTGGTTTGCTATATTAGTCTTTGATATTACTGCTTTCTGCTATCTGTGACTCAAAATACAGGACCTAACTTTCTGAATCATGCACTGAACCCTGACTATAATTTGGTTTCTTGCATTTGTGCAAAGTAAATGCTGATGTACCACCAACATGTATTTGGCAGTTACACTATATGTGGTATGGTCCATCCCATAAAGTGATGGTTCCATGACATTCAGACTTAATTTTGCTCGCTTTTTACTCAGAAAAAAAAAGTCTTGTTTTCTAAATTATTATAACATTGGAAAGCTATTGGGCATAACTTTGTTTTCTACTTAACCTGCAGGAACAGGTTTATTTTCTCCCTGGTGCATATTGTTTCCAAGCCATGATGCCTCTCTGAGCTGAACTGCTACTGCAGATTCAATTTAAAAAGGCTGACTATGTCTAGTTATGAAAGAGGAATTCTGAGAGAAGTAGAGTGTAGATTTATCAAAGGTGTAAATTGATTGTAATGTCTGACTTGTAGTGGTAGAGATATTTCAGTGCTGGATAGCATTTGTAATTTAGGAACTAAAGGACTAAAGAATCATCTTATTCTGCAAAGGCTGTAAAGATGTCTTGTGTACATTACTTTCCTATTGCTTGCTAACATCTCTGAAGATACAAGGGGAAAATATGAGAGCATTTAGGGAGATGAAGAATGAAAATGGAACCATATTGTCCTTGAACTTCCCCTGTTGCTGATATTCTTCTTATTGAGACAATAATGTTAACACAAATGGTTGATTCCCTTCAAAAAGAGTGAAGTTTTGATATGTGCTGGAAGGCGTTATGTGCAAGACCAATAAAGGTTTGCTTATCTTAATATTTATTGCTGGTTGTGATCAAAGCATGAAGCAGTTGTGTTATAATCGTGCAGCTGCTGTATAAACTGATTCCACGTGTAACTTGGAACAATAAACACAATACTGTCTTTTCTTTCTCAAGTTCCTTTTCCTGCAAAGAGCTTTCAAATGATACAGAAGGAATGACTTGTCTTGCCAGTGAAACACGGAAGTTTCAGCAGCATGCAGCAGTTGCTAATTTGTTTTTTTAATTTCAAGGCAAAGAGAAACATACCATACAACTGATATTGTAAGAAAGAGGGTAAATGAAGCAGTTGATCTAAGTAGAATACAGACATGAGATCAGGCTATTATACTCTTCAAAGGTGATTTTCTTCAAATACTTAGTAGAAAAACTAATAAACAAACAATACATCTGGATAGGTAGCTGAAGAAAAGTGTAGTACTAGTCTCCTTCCCAGGGAGGGAGAACCAACAAATCTCAGATCCTGCAAGTCCTAGGATACTGAGCTGTTCCAGTAAAAATTAGAGATGCAGACATAAAGATAAAAAGGATATTGTTGAAGAATCTTGATCTGCCGTTTCATGTTCCAAAGGAAATTCCTCTCTTGGTAGGCTTAGCCTGGACAGGAAGTGACACAGCAAGTCATGCTTCTGTTAGCAGGATTGCTTTTCTGCACTGGGGACTTTTCCACTTTTACTTGACATCTACTGCCCACTTACTCCTCTTTCTACTGTGCATGTGGCACAAAGAAGGCAATACACCAAGCTCAGCTACAAACAGAAAATAAAATCAGAGGTATCTCAGGTTATTATGTGAAGACTAGTTCTGAAACTTTGCTTTTAAATACTTTGTCTGTTCTTACTGTTGCCAGAGGAATGAGATTAAAAATAGATCCGAGTCCTGATGGCGCTGGTAATTTAGAAACAATTCTACTGCTTTATATATAAGTTGTTTGTCATCTTCTTTCCTTGTTCGTTAGCACTAAAGGGCATGTGCGTGGTAACACAATCTTCATGTTTTATAATCCTTCCTATGCTTCTGTCGCTTTGCTCCCTAATCCAAAATCCTAATTCCCTGTGACATTCCTATTAGTTGCTCTGAAGAATATTCTGTTGCCACAGAGGATTATGACATCAGGCAATGACTTAGCAGCAGGAGTAGATGAACTGTCTGAGACAAAGATCCTTTTATGATTCCAATGGCCCATAGTACAAAGAAGTGAGGCCAAGTACCCAGCATCTACGCTGTGCTGTCACGACTGACTAAAGATGGCAGATCAGGCTTCAAGCTTCCTTTTGGTATTTTCAGGCTTTCAAAATTCCACCTTATTGTGTTATTTCTTTTTCTTTTCTCTCTCCCCGCCCCTCCCCCCCCAATAATACAGGCCTTGAATTCAAGTACTTTGGCTTTCTGGGCTCTATCATATGATGACCTCAAGCCACACGTACTGGGCCTTGTGTAGTCTTATTCCTTGGATAAAGTCCTTTCTCTTGCAGCTTCTAGACAAAGGATATGCCCATTGTCAAGTCCAGTCAGTTACTGATTAAAGTATTCTCAGAATAATGTAGGAAATGTGAAGAAACGGTGTTGAAAATGCTGTTCTGCTCTGCTTCTCTGTAATGATCTGTATAGTTGATGCTGTAGCAAGTTTGCACAGAGTCACAGGTGCTTTCTGGTTTAATTTTTAAAATATAGATATATTGCTTGTTTATACATCTAGGAGTGTTGGCATTCATGTTTGAGGTTAGAAGTTAGGTAGTGGGATAGTAATGTGCAGGAGAGGTATTTGTTCCTCATTCCTTATCCTCAGACATTCTAGACATTTTAGGCAAAATGACATCTAATATTCTATTTCAGATTGTTAAATGTCATCCCTTCTTTTGCTTGGCCAGAGTAAGTGTGAAGCAAGTATCAGACCATAACCTGATGCACATGTAGATATATTTATATCCATGATTTTTACAAGAGTAAAGGCAGGAGGGAGGCCTGTATGGCCTGTGTGCCTGCGGCCCACGCTGGAAAGTCTGTCAGCTCTGTTCTAATCTAGAGTGATCTGTTAATTTCACACTGTGCCACTGAGACCACTGGGATTCATATGGCTGCAAATGAGAGCCAGGTGGGTGGGAAGAAGAGGCGGAGGGAAGGAGAAAAGTGTTGAAAAATGCTGCTCAACTTTCCTTCAGCATGGCAACAAGGGGTTTTCTTGCTGTGGCTGCTGCTGTCACTTCTTTTCAATAGGTAAACTTTCCTTCAGGGATTTTCTTGTCATCTTCTATTAACCACGCTTATGCTCCTACCTAGAGGTTTTGGGGTTTGTTTGTTTTTTTGGTTTCTTAACAGTGTAGTACATTCTGGAAGAAGCTCAGATTTTTGTTAAAATCCAGTCTAACTCTGCTTACCCAGTCACATGTTCATTCTCATTGCAGAAGAGATGTAAAGAAATGCAGATAGCTGAAAAACAACTGGAATTCATCCATTCTCTTCTTTCAGTGGGAAAAGACGATCTGGTGGGGACTCTGGTGCAGAAAATTTGCAGCAAAGCTTTAAGGGTCCTTTCCTGTCTTGGTCTTTGAATTATTGGGAGGATCATGGCCTGACATGAGACTTCCATTTAGATGTGGGTTCTATGAGGGCTTGTAAATATGGAAGTGCCCAGGTGTGCAGTCTCAATACGAAAGATGCTGAATGATGGGATTTAGTGAAATCACTATGGATGGTGTCTGATGGAGGTTGAAAGGTTTCATTTTATGTTAAAATATTTTAAAATGCTGTATCCACTTTTCTCTGTCCTATCTAATCTATAAAATACAGATGGTGGTGTTGATGTGATGAAGAAATAAGGAAAAGGATTGAGTCTTGTGGAGTTGCTCTTGCTTGCAAAGACTATGAAAAAAGATGCTTGGATGGGTTGAACAGTTGTTTCTTTGTCCTTACAGTATTCTCCTAGACTGGAAGTGGGTAATGAGCTGATCTCAGGCAGCCTAGCCAGTTGATCCCTTATTATCTGCTTTATTTATTTTGTTTCTTCTTTTCCAGCACATACGGGATATAGCATAGTACATATGTCAAATGTATATGTACATTTTATTTAAAATCCTGCACAACAGGAGCAGCATACTTTTGTCTAGAATGCTGAATATAAAATACTTTCCCAGGAAGTAACTTGTACACTCATGTTCTTGTAATCTATGACTTGCAGCTTCACGCTTGCTCTCAGAGGATTCAGAATCCAGCTACCTTGTTGTGGATGACATAGTAGCTGTTATTCAGGGTCTCTCTGATCTGATGATTACTTTTTTGCTTATTGCTGAGATTTTGTTTTTGCAAGGCTTATCTGAGTAGGATGGCAACTGTTAGCTGCAAATCACAGAACAGTGAAATGCTGTTCTGTTAGTAGTGGCTGCTTCCTTCTCTGCTTTCGCCAAAGGCATGGAAAGCAGTCCAAAAGTAGAAGTGTTGTGGATAAATGTCATGCCCTTCTGAGGACTGCATTAGCGTGTTTCCAGAGGAACCTGTGTAATAGGTCAGAGTGTTTGGATTTTTGTTTGGCTGACTTTTATTAACCTATGAAGCCAAGTTGTAGCCAGCTGAGGCTTTAAAACTTTAGTTTGAATCTACATTATCAGGGCTCTTTGGGTATGATGAGGCATTGTTCATGGGCCTATTAATTAGCTTTCATTTCTATAAGGACATCTAACTTCTAGGGAAGCACAACAACCTGGCCATGTTTGTTGGCCTAGTGTCACCTCCTATTTTACTGCACGCTTCTTTGAGCAAGTTGGGAACATATGAGTTGGGCCTGCCTAAGAGGGAATATGTTGCTGTTCTCTTTTCCTTGCTCTGTCTTACAGTTTGCTGTTTTGTTTGAGGTGTACAATTGTCTTTGTGCTCAGATTTTTACCTGAGTTTCTTGCACATCCAGGAACGGAACAGTTTGTTTAGTGCTTTCTCTCTTCTGCATGAGGATCCTGATGGCAATGATAGTGATTAATTTAAGCTTTTGTGGGCCTGACCAAAGTGATTCTCTCACTTTATTTTACTCTCTTCTTTTCATCTTTTCTCCAGGACCGAGCACTACCTGCCAGGAAGATTCCTGTGCGAATCAGGGCATCTGTAACCAGCAATGGGAAGGCTTCACCTGTGATTGCTCCATGACTTCATATTCTGGGAACCAGTGTAATGATCGTAAGTAGACTTTTCAGTGCATTGGTGACCCGTGAGTTCTGATATATGAAAGCACAGAGAACACATGATTCACTCTTCTTTCAATTGCAATACAACTTTCCCAGTATCAAATCCAAACTTTGTTTCTTGGAAATTTCTTTAAGGCCTTCTGTGGGTTATTTTATTTTCTCCTTAAAATGAAAATATGCAATTCAGCATGTATTGGTTTTGTTTGGCTGCTTTTTGCTGGGCTTTTTCCCCCCCTCTTCTTTTTGAAAGCTAACTTCACCAGTCCAGTAGTGGTAATCAATGTTAATGGAATTCCTGGTTTAGAGAAAACAAGAATGACTTGCAGATATTGTATGTAATATTTTCGTAGGTAAAAAATGTCTAGGTTTTGTGTACTGAGTTATACTTTGAGATTTTAAGTCAAACCTTAGTGAAAAATACATGGAATGCATGTAAAATGAGTAGTGTTCTAGATAGTCTTCTACTGAAACACTAGCTGTATACTGAAATGGTGGAGAGTGTTTGTGAGAATATTCACTTAAAACCAGTGATCAGTTAAATATGCAGCAGAACCATTGTGCTTCTTGGTGTATTGGTTTGCTTAATCTCAAAACATTGGATGCTCTTGGCCAGTTACTACTAGGATCTCTGATAAAATAATTGAACAAACCCCTTAAGTCTGCCTTTAGGGGGCAGATAATCAACTTTTTGACATTCTCTTTGCTCATTATGATTTACCCTTTGCTCCTGCCTGGAGGGAGCATCACTTCAGCTCTACTGTCTGCCTGCTTCTAGTATTTGAGGTGACGTCTCCTTCTCCCCTGCTTGCTCCAAGGCAGGGAACAAAGGAATACATCATGAGGGCTGTAGTAAGCATAACAGTAGGCTTCAATAATTTGGTTCACCTACTGTATAAATTTTAAATCCAGAAAAAACTGCTTTTCACTAAGGTATTTGTAGTAGATGTAATTAGAGTTGCCAGCAAAGTCCATGCATTACTGGTACCACAGCACTGTCATATCTGCAACCCTTCCCCTAAAAGTCTGGGACGTGACTGAATTGATGGCACATATGACAAGCTGTGTAGCAATCCGTTTCTGCTGAAGGCCAAAATGCCTGCTTTTCTGAGTCATTCATAATATGTAATGTGGGTCTCCCATTTCTTCCAGCATATTTATCTCAGACAGATATTGGAAAGGCCTATCAGCATTCATACTTTGACAGGGGCTGTATAAACAAGGTACTACTGACACAGATTTATAGGCTTCAATGCTATGTCTGGTTTTGAGTTGCTTTGGAATTCAGAATGTTTCCTTTTTGGAATTCAGAATGTTTCCTTTGAGTTCAGAAGAAACATTTCATGTTGGAGTCACAAGATCTGGTGCCAATTTTCTGCGGTTTTGTTTTGGTTTGCTTTTATCAATTGGACACCCACTTTCCCACTCTCAAACTACTTGTTCAGTCAATCAGTTCAGACTTGCTAAGCTTAGCATACAAACGTGTGAAAGAAACACTACTTTGAATTCTGTTGGGTTGCATTTAAATACATATCCAGGAAATCTCTTATATTATTGATACTGTGGGGTTTGTTTCTAATGTGTTTAGCTTCACAACTCCAGAATGTTGCAGTGCCCTTGTTAAGCTGTTGCTAATTGCTTAGAACAGGCCCTGAAGCATCAGGAAGAGCCAGATTCTTTTGTCTGTAATTGGGGATTTCTCGCTGCTTTTTAGAGCTGGCAGCTGGAAATAATGCAGAGAAGGGAGCTTGAAATGAGTGGTGGTGGTGTGGGCAGCGTAGGAACCAGCCTCCAGTTATCAGGCCTGGCTGGTAATTTACAAATGCACGCAGAAGGAGGTGGGTTTCAAAATGACATGGAAAGGTAAGTCACGTGGACTCCTGGAACATGACAAGACTTCATCCTGAACCGTGAAAAAGTGCGTATAATGTTTTTTGTGTGTTTTATTTGTTTGTTTGACTTTGTCTTGTATCATGACATTGGAAATAGACTTCTACTCCTGACTTCCTGATACAATTAGGACACATTGTGGGTGTGTAGTTGAGAAAGCTTAAGTCCTTTTCTTTCTTACCTTTTAGGTAAGGTTGCTAATCTAAGTACAGGCATCTATCAATTGGAGCAAATACTCTAGACTGGATTTAAGTGCAAGTAATTGCAGGAGGATATACCTTCTGTGTAACCTGAGGCCTTTTATTTAGAAATGCATCAGGCTCTTTGGTTTTTTTGGCCACAGCCATCCATTCTATTAATTTTAGTAGATGGCTATTTCTACCTTATGAGCAATTGGTGGTCTCCCACTGGTGTAAATGTGGAGTATTGAAGTAAATAGAACAGGTTGAGTTTTACACAATGAAAATTGTAGCAAAAGGCTGACTTACTGTACATATTTTGCCTTTCTATTGCTGTTAATCAAGTCCACAAGTGTCCACAATGGAAATTTGCATTTTCATGTGTTTGATGAATATATCTGTGCCTCTGAGACAAATAAATGGAAAGCAAGTTGTTCTCTTCAGTTATTCTTGATGATCTCCCAGATTATCCCAAATTAAGTATTGGTAGGTGTGATTTATGTTTGGGGGTTTTTTTATTATTTGATGGAGCAAACTTTGCAAAGATATTGAGTCTTATCAATGCTGAGTGAAGCTTGGTGTGCCAGTATGTTTTTCCTTTTTAATTTTTGTCCCAGGACTAGGCCATTAAGCTTCCTAATTCAGATGCAACTGGCTTGGAACTGCTGTTTCTGAAGGGTGAAGAGGAAGCACCCATAATTCCCCTTCACCCTTCAGAGGTGACAGAGATTAATTTTCTAAACCTATAGACATGTTTATCCATTCATCAGTATTGCATAGTAAGACAAGGATTTAAATTCCTAGTGGAAATTTAATTTTAATTTTAGGTTTTTGTCTGTAGCTCTGTTTTAGATGTTATTGACTTTGTAGGAATCAAGATTCTTCAGAATAATAAATTAATGGGATCTGTGGGGGCATAAATTCAGTTTTAGTATGCTTCATTCTGACTTGAACAACTGTATCAACTAAAAAAAAAACCAGACCCAGGAATAACCCACAGACATCCCCTCTCCTCAAATTCATTTGAGAAGGTCCATTGTACAAAAGTGAATTTGAAGGTTTGCCCTTCACACTGGCCAGTACTAACACCTGAAATTAAAGGTAGAAATAGAAGCAATAATGCTATTCTGATAGGATATACTGATTCTATTCTCTGTGCCATTTAGAATACATTCTCAAATTTTTGAAGTTGTTCCATCTTCAATCTTTATAGATGTTTTTATAATTTCTGCATCACATTAAAAAAATGTGAGCTTTCAACCTATTTTAAGAACTTACATACTACTCTAAGATGTAGGAAGTCAGTGTTAGTTTACTGCAGTTAATATTAGAAATATTAAACAACTCTGGCATGCCAAGCTGTTGCTTAGACTGTTCAAATGTGCAACTTTAAGCATGTAAGGTAGAAGAAGTAAAGTTTACCCACGGTGTTAGTGAAGTGTCTTGCATCTGGGGTGAACTCCATCCTGTTAATGTTAACCATGATATGAGATGAAAATATGGTAGTTAAGCATTTCAACCTACCTGAAAAGTAACCTGTTTTTAAACTGTTGTCTATGAACGACCTACCAGATTCTTTAATTAATTCACATTCTTGTCTATCTGATCAAACAGTAAAATTTTCTGCACAAGAGAATGCATAGGAAGAAGCATTGCCAATCTAGCTAATGAAATTGGTATTTCCATGTCAAACTAAATCATAGAAAATGCAGGTTTTTACTCAGTGCTCCCTGTAGATGAGTAACACTGAGGGTCTAGCTTTCCAAGAGCAATTGCCAGGGTAACACAAGTATGTATTAGTGGAGGTATTTGCCTGTGAAAAATCAATGATTTGCAGCAATGACTTGTGCAAGCAAGTATAAAGCACCTTTTCAAACAGGTTTTATGTTGTTGATGTAACTGTTAAATCCATCTGCTGTCTATTGATTGGCTTTTTAGAGGGGTTATTTATTTATTTATTTATAAACTTTGGGTGGCAATAACCTGGTTTAAAACACCTGGTTTAAAAACAACTTTTCCATTTGTTTGGTAAAGAGAAAAGGCAGTCCAAGCTTTTTGTCCTCTTGTGTTGCTATATTCATATGCCTCCAGCTTTTCAAGGATCCTGCTGATAAATAACCTTCCAATGAGGCTGCTTGACTGAGTGATGCCTGTTTTTTGTCTGGGAGAGAATTAATATACAGGGCTATTGGGGCTTTTTTTGTGCAATAAGTTATATTTTTTTCCCAATCCCTTTCCACGTGATGCATTACCTATATGCTTTTGCTGTCTTTATGTGAATCACGTTTGGAGTAGGGAAGGATTAGAGGGAAAGAGTAATGGTGACTTTGTTCCATTGTTCATTTATTTAGCACCATCACAAGAAGAGCTTTTGATAACTTCAGTTATATAATCATAGTGAGTGAGACTTGCTAGCCATATTTTTTTTACTTGACATAAAAGGAAGGATATCAAAATTAGCAAAAAATGTTTAAAACCACTACTTTAGAGTAAAGCATAGAATATTTTTGATTGATTAAGGAACACTGAAGCTGGCCTTAGCCCCATATGTGTGAGATACCAAGGTTGTCAGAGCAGGCCCATACATCTTCATTGATGCCCTACTTTTTTGCACAAAGTGAAAAAGTGAAAAGTTTTTTTGCAGTGCGTGAATGAGTATGAAAGTGTATTGATACTTCTGGAGCAAAGTCTGTAAACTAGGTTGCAGTGACAGTACTGGTGTCCCTCACACCTGCTTAAACAGCATAGCAGAATAGTAATTAGAAGAGACTACTAGCAGGGCAAATGGCTAAATGAGTAACCCTTCCTTTATGATGATGACTTTATTCTGATGTGCTCATGAGCCATTTGCACCCCAAATTTACTTTTTGAGTCACTGAGCAGTTACAGCTTGTGCTCTCTGTTGCAGGATTCAGACCCTCAGTTG